ATAAAAAAATGTGTGTCGGAATGATCGGTAAATCACCCTGCGTATATTATAATTGTACAATATTTTTGTACTTTATTGACTACCACGGAGGTTAAGCTATTCATCGGCCCGGAGAAAGCGTTTGTCGTCGTATGATAATGTACCAGACGTAATAATAAATCGCTGAAAACCAAACAACAATATACCTACGAATAACACAGAACAATATTATTATTTATCGTTGTAATATATTATTATTATTATTATTATTATTGCATACAGAGAAAAAAATATGTGCGCCGACATCTATACTCGCATGATACTATAGTGATACTACCGCTGAAGTTATAATATACAATAATGTATAAGATATATTATAATTTATAATTTACAATAAATAAACGTCGAGGGGACGGACGCCCGCGGCGGCCTAGGTATCGCGATTTAACAACGATACTGCAAATGCTCATATTACAATAATAATAAACGCATAATACGTATTATACGCGAGATCCACAATAGGTGGATATTATAATAAAGTTACGAATTATTCGCAATTTTTTTTTTCACGCTTTTTGTTATTATTATTTCCACCAACCGCGAGCAGCCCGTATAATAATATTACTATTAACATTATAATAATATTATGTATACAGTATATAATATATCACATTGTGTTTTTATGCGCGCAATCCCGCAATCATTATAATATAATATTATCATAATACAATATATTATAATATAATATTGTATTACATAATATTGTATAATCTATTGTGGGCAATATATAATAGCTTTAGTACTTTTAGGTACGACTTCGGATCTGATTTAAATTTTTAAACACCTAGCGGGCAACGTGTTTTTATTTTTTCAAAGGTGAAAAGCCACGTTCGTACCTTTCCGCCTTACGCCAGCCAGTGGCGGCTCGTGCGTAGGTGCGCAGGTGCAAGAGCACCACATGCCATTTTATCAAAATAATATTTTTTAATTTTTTAAAACTCAACCGTTGTAAATTGTTTTTTAAAACTATCGGTGTGCTATTAAAAAAAAAATATTCAACAATATTTTTTCGGCAAAGAACTATTATGTCGTGATTCACGATTCGTGAACATATTATATATGTTCCTAAAGTAAAAACAGTTATGCAAAATGTACACACAAATCGGTGAGCAACACTGTGACAGCACCGCATGCCAGTATAAAATAGTAAAAATAAGTACGGACTACGGTTGACCAGGGGGGGGGGGGATCACCAAATACAATGCAACTCGGTGCGCAGTTACTACTGTGAACCGATTTAAAAAAAAACATTATACACGATTAATTTGGGTCGCTGTAAATTGCGTCCCGTTTCAAATTTTTTATGTAAATTGCGGCCCGGGTACATTATATACATACGTAAATTGCGGCCCGGGTATATTATATACATACGTAAATTGCGGCCCGGGTATATTATATACATACGTAAATTGCGGCCAATTATATTTGTATATTTTAATATATTTGCCTACTTAAATATTTGTCATTGTTATGTAAATTACAAAATCAATATTTTCCTTCCCATTTTTCAGACTTAGGACTGGCAATATAATTGTATTCATATTGGTATGGTTAAAAATATTGGTTTTGCTGTTTTGTTTATAATTAAAAATAAGTAAAAATGTGTATAGTGAAAAAAATAGTATTATGAAAATTCGAATTAATATACTGGTAAAAACTTATAAGATAATTCCCGCACATAGTCTAACTGAGTAATATTTTTTGCTTGCAATTCATACATTTTGTCATGTATAAATGATTCTTTATCAGTCATTTTTTTGCTTTTTGTTCCCTGACTTCTTAATATAATATACGTATCACATTGCATGTTTTTTAAAATTTCAATAAAATTAAATATATTTGGGTGTGACGAATTGAACGAACTATTTAATTTTTTATGAAATGATTCACAATTATTTGTAGTGCGCATCGTTGAGGATACAAATTCAGCCCATATCTGTGGTGGAAACTCCGCGTCGTCGGTTATATATGTTTCTAATATGTAGTCGGTAAATTGTACTATCCTATTATCTTGTGGTTGCAATGCCATTATATCAAACGCAAAACAATCTTCAACCACATCACAACTCAAAAAAGGAAGCCCAAAAAATAATTTTAAGAAATTACTTATATCGGTATTATTTCTTTTGTAATCATTACTTAATCCTAGCTGCTGTATTTTCCTGTACCAACTTTGACCAAGGTGAAACCTACACCCTTTTACTTCAATAGAAGGCCAAACATGTCTTGCAGCATTGTGAATAGCCTTTTCAAAATCGGCATATAACCGAATAGGATTAAATTGTAAGTCATTTTTTTTGCACTCTTTAACTAAATGATGAAAAGCTTGTAAATAACACTGTGTAGTCTTCGAAGGTAATAAAATATAAACGAGTGGAACATAAGACTGATTTATTGCACAGTGAACAGTAAATAATTGATGGTATAATTTTGGACAACTTTTGAATGTACCATCTACAAATATAGTATCAGAATCGCATAGCACTTTTAAATTGCTTAATGTAGAGAAACCTACTATATTTGTTTCTTTACTATTTACTAGCAAAAAATTTTCATTTTTGTTTGTTTTGAATTCCATTTTGTCAAAAATATTATGTAATTCCAAAAAAGTGTCTGGTAATTTTGGTAGTATAGAAGCTCGAGCATTGTGTAAATTTCTTTTAATCAATTTTACGTCTTGTGTAGTTAAAGATTCGACATCAGCATTTTTTAACTCAGAATGAATAATTTTCGATGGCCTTGTAAAAATATCATCAACGGCTTTTCTTTTTAAATTATTATTAAGTTTTTGACGATTTATAATTTGTTCCGAAAGTTGTAGATGGTTATGATCTTTAAAGCTATCTATACATATACTATTATTATTAAATTTTAAAAAACACTTACAAGTTTTGACTGTACAACACCAACGTTGAATATCATTCTTCAGAAGTTTTTGAAAACGAAATTTAAAACCATTAACTATTTTCAACGTCTTATTTTTTTCACTTTTCATAACTTCCATTGTTATTAAATTTAAAAAAAAATACAAATACTAAACCAAATACCAAATACTGTAGACCAATGTAAAAACTCGTGCGAAATATTTCGATCAAATGCACACAGCACACTGGCGGCTAGTAATATTATATAGGTAAGTGAGCATCAAGTGATCTTATCGATCAATATTAAAGATAATAATATAACCAGCCGACCGGAAATCGGAATATCCCGGGCCGCAATTTACGTACATTTCAAATATACCCGGGCCGCAATTTACGTATGTATAAAATATACTCGGGCCGCAATTTACACAGTATATAACTATGACCTTTTTTGCGGGACGCAATTTACCGACTCCGATTAATTTTGAGGTTTATCCATTGGTAATCTGATTTTTGTATCCAATAATGGTCGATAATATTTCATAATAAATGTATATATATTTTATTATTGTTATAATTAAGTCATGATACATAATATTATTAATAAGATACATTATTTTAAGCCAGTAAAACCGTGTTACATCGTAGTAAATGCTTGTTAGTTATTATTTTGTGCACCACCTATTTTTAACACCACTAGCTGCCACTGACGCCAGCATAATCTGCAGCAGTAAAGTTGTAAAAGATGCGATTCTATTCGATTATAATATCGTACCTACGTGAGGTGGGGCGAGACCGTTTTCGACCAAAGACGTCGTACCCTCCCCTTTTCTGCTGATTCACTCTTTGGCCAAAACAAAAAGTTCAATAATATTATATAGGTACTTAAGGGCACTTTATATATGTTTCCTGTTCACTATATCTACACATCGGACTTGCCCACGTCAGAAACTACTATATAGTGGGGTTTTCGCTCTAATTCAAGGTAAAATTCAGCTAACATAGTTCTGCATCTGATTGACACACCGGGAAATGATAAAACAATTGTCCTTATGGTCTCAGAAATAAGAAAACACGGAATAAAGCGCACCTTTTAAAGCCCTTTGAAGGATAATCGATGACCATTTGAATCTTTTTACATAGGCCGTTTGCGTTGTAGGGTGAGCTTGTAAAAATTGCAATGTGTTTGGACAATTTAGCATAATGCTTTTGGGAGAGTGATTTTAAAACATTGTAAGGTGTTTGGGTGACATTTTTTAATATCCAGTGAAGTGTTTGGGTAGTATTTTATCAAACCTCACATTTCGACAGACTTGGGACTGACTGTGAATTCCGCGAGTTAACGGAAAGTCGAGGTTTTTCAAGTGTATTCCCTAAAATTATAATTTTCAATCGAAATGTATCGTTTATTTCGTTTTTTAGTGAAAATATTTTCAATCCATATTTTGAAAATTACATGTAATCACTAACATTAACACTGACGAGAATTCACGTTTCCGCAATACTGATATTCGTGCCATACCTAATAATTATTATGTTTAGGTTGATATAATATTATATACAATATATTACAACATATATTTGATTTTAATCTTTATATTTTGTATTGTAATATGTAATTTTATTCGCTCAAACCAAATATAAAGAACTCGCCCAAACACATTGTTTTTATTAGGCCTGCAAAAGGGTATAATTCGTCCAAACGAGTCTTTTACACAATATCTCTAAATAGTTTGCCTATTTATTTTTTTTTTAAATATCAAATGTTTAAGATACTGAATTACTAAAGAAACTCAAATTAACAACATTTAAACAAGTCTAGATTGATACCAATATCGAGTATACCATAGGTATTAGGTACCTATAGAGAAAACTAATATATATGATAACTATCATACTCTACAGATTAATTAATACAGTATAGGTATAAATGAAACTTAAATAAACAATATCATAGATGTACATTTTTTTTTTTGATATTTTTTAATACATTAGTATAGGTGATATAAATAATTTTTATTCCATTATTTTTTTGTTTGCTGGATCAGCTGATTTAACTACAGCGTATTCTCAAACATTTTATATATAGACCTAAGCTTAAGAAATATCGATTTTTGTGCCGTTCAATGTGTATGAAGCATTTTCTCTGAACGACTTTTCCGATATGTTACATAAATTTCCGATGTCCGCCATCGCAGCTATAACGAAGTCTTCGATCTGACACTCGTTGGTTCCTTTCAGTATCCGGAAGTATCCGCTTTCACCCCACCATAGTCCCCACGAGTTTGAAACGATCTATAGAGTAACAACAAGGAAAACTCTTACTGGTAACACATTATTGCTAGTTGCCGTATTTTTTTATTTTATGTAACGTGATTTTTTTCTAAAGCAATGAAATTGTTTTTTCGATACATTTTTGTTTCATGGCATTAAATTTTTTATAAAAATAAAACAAAAATATTATTACTAGAGGGCAATATTTTCAAGTTATGGCAAGTTCGTCGTATATAAATAATATATAATATTATGTACCTACCCAATATTTTACTGTTTTGCCATTCTGTTGCTCTTCGCCCCAACCAACAATCCTTACAGTATGATATCCTGTTTTTGATCCCAAATCCAATTTTGAACACTTGTACACGCCCGATTCATACATGAAAAATTCTTTGGACACTTTCATCATGGCTAAATAAACATAAAAATAATGGTATTACTGTTAATTTTATTTTTACACAAGTCTCAGATACATACGAGTTCTAGTAAGGGTTTGAATTCTTAGGTCTCCGGTAAAATAATTAAAAATATAAAAAATGACATTGTGGTAGCCTAATGGTAGGTATAATAAATTACATTACACACCTTGGACTGATCCCCAATTCATGATCTCATGCATAATACCCTCTTCTGTAGCCACTCTGTACATCAGACCAACTCGTCTAAGTGGCGAAGTTTTGGCGGAACGCGGACACGACACTATTAAGTTATTGATACTTCTCTGATTGGACACCGCACAACCTGTCGCCCGACCATCATACGGGTAACATTCATCTGTGACGAGTCTGTAAAACATTTGAAACAAATAAATATATATGCATGGTCGAATCGTAAACATTTATTTTTACTCACCCAAACGTCCTAACCCAATTCCAAGCACTGGTCAAATGGCCACCTTGGCATCCTCGTTGTAGGTCAAGATTATTGCAAGACAACAGGTGTTTCGGTGAGAGAGCGTCGCGCATTAGTCCTTTGGTCATTATAACAAAACGGTCGGTGGTCACTTGAGCAGTACTTATGGCCCAGGACGCGCCACACCAACCCTGATCGATAGGATCGGTAATGTTATCACCAAAAACTTTGCGGAGATCGAAAGATGACTTTAGATGATCTCGGTGGAACATAGCTTTCAAAGGTACTATTTGTAAAATCTGTATAAAAAAAAACATTTAAAAACTACAATATAAAAATTATCTTTGAAAAAAAAACCCAATGTACATTATTATACCTATATTGCTTAAGTAACTTCCCGTATTTTAATTTATTATACCTGCCGGGCTATAACAAAATAACTTAGTTGGAATACTAACATAAACATAGTTGTAAAAAAGTAAAAAGTGAAATAGTTGCATGTGTTTTCAAAATATTTTATCGCCATGTAATTATTCATTAAATATTTAATATGTTTTTAAGTAATCTTAGAGTAAAATCACCCATTACAAAAGAGATAGAGAGTAATATTTTTGAGGGAATGTCATATCGATTTTATATTTTATTATTATTTGACTTAGTATTCGTCTTTCAAAATAAACAAATAATTGTTGTAAATTTAATTTATGTTTAAATTGGTTTGAGGCAATATTTAGAAAAATCAATATGTCATTCCCTCCAAAATATTATTCTCTATCTTTTTTGTCATGGGTGGTTTTACTCTAAAATTACTTAAAAACATAGAAAAAATGATTCTGCGTAAATGCGTTTTGTCTATGTTACGAGTGGGGCAGAGAGAAAAAACAAATAGTAAAACATCCTCTTAAATAGATCAACCTAAATTATAGTAGATAGCAACTATATATTATGTAGGTATATATTAGATTACTATTCTCTATTGATTTGTTTTGCTTCTAAAAATATAATACGAAACAAAATATATACTTATAGAGTCTTGACAATAACGTCTTATACAGTAGTAATAGTTAATAGTTATACCTACCTACTTAAATATTTAAGTACATACAATTATGTAATTTAAATATGTATTATTGGCATATTAGGTTTCATCAAACTTTAAAAATTATTACATTACAGTCGTCATAATTTTTTTAAAAACGTATAGACTATAGGTACATTCATTTCCTATAGTTGAATTTCAAGAGAACTCAACCGCTTCGCGCATCCGAATGATTTACTAGGGCAGTCGCGAGGCCAATTTTCAACCTCCAAGTGCTCGCCAGTTACCGTATATACACCGCGAGCGCGATAAATACGCTATTACGTGAGAAGCCAGTCGAACGTAATGAAAACAGAGCGAGAATTATAATCACGCCGTATAACATATTACCACGGCTAACTCTGCAGGTGGTCGCCGGTGGCCAGTTTTCGACACTATTTTTTCGGTGAGCGGTTGCGTTCTCTCGTGGCGCGAAGTAAAGGTACCTACCATAGAAAACGCAGTTATAGGTTATTACTTATTAGTTATTACATAAGTATGTATCTACTTAAACATTATGTAAGGTCATTCAACCGTGATGACGTACAAACACGATAAAGTTTTTTATATACGAATATCGATGTTCCACACACCTTTTCCGGTGGTTGCAGTGTACCTAGCCGCCATTTAAGTCCGTCGTCATATGTTCTGCCCCAAAATTCACTGTAATTTTTGGCAGACCATCCAAATTGACGACTTTGGTTCTTAATCGCGTCCAAGAGTGACGGATCGATAAGACATTCGCTGTGGTAACATATCAACGTCGGGGTTTCATCGATTTTTCGGCATCGGCTACAATAAATAATTATACCCATACAGAAAATACTTTGAGACATATGTGTAATTGTCACATTGTATGTTTTGTTATTCAAAAAAATTTTTTTGAAAACATTTCTTTGTTTTTCTATGTTTTTCTAACTAAATGTTAGTTAACATCGTAGGTAGGTAATATATATAATATATAAAAATAAACTCACCATTCATTGCAATTTATATTAATCACTTCTCCAAGATTACAATTCGGTTTTTCAGTATAATATTGTACTGGAAAAAATACAATAGTAAAAAATATGATTTTAGCTGAAATATTTGACATAACAACTAGCGTCATAAATTGCTAATTATTGATGGTTAAGGCGTCTCTTAGTCAATTTATTTTCAGCCTTCTAGTGGAATTTCCTGGAATAATTAGAGAGGAATTTTCGCATTTCAAATGCTCCTTTGGGCGAAAGTTGATCGATTTGGCTTAACCACAGATTTGGATACCGTGTGCTCAGTATTTTATGTAGGTAATTTATTTTAGTACTCTTAATGAATTTAGTTTAAAACAATGTTATCAACGTCAATATTAGCGAATAGGTACTTGTTTGTTGTTTGATATATATTTAGGGAACCTATATTATTAAACATTTAAACAATATCCCTTAGTCAATCCCATTATATAGTTACAAACTTACAACACATTAACTAAAAAATATCTATGTTTGACGATTTTGTAGATTTGCTTTTGATCAACAATCTCCAAGGTCGTTAAGATGCAGCGGGACAAAATTAGAGTTCAGCAGAACCAACCTTACGACTTATCATCAAACTTAAAGTTAAGAACATAATTTATCAATATAAAGCTTATCAAAGCATGTTATGTTTAAATATTTGTTATTAACCAAATATATAATAATTTTTTGAAAATTATTTTACTGTTAGAGAATCACGTTTTTATGTTCTCCTTTTGGATATTTTGAACAGCTAATTATTATTATTTATTTAGTACTTTATCAACTTTGTTTTTAAAGAAATTCCAAGTATAAGAGTTAAATCAATATTTGAAAAAAAATTATCTTGTGTGACTATAGTTTTGTTTAAAATGAGGTACCCTATTTTAGCCAGAGTTACATTCTCTCATAATATTAAAAACTTGAAATATTTTTATTTTAATTCATTTTTATACAAATGTGTTTTGTTTAGTTGTCTAAATAAATAAAATAATATATAATGTGAATAAATATTAATTTTCATGACATTTTTAATCATTCCCCATTTTGCCAACTAACTACTCTATTTTTACCTACCATACGGCTAAAATGGGGCAAAACTAAAATTTTTAAAACAATTAAAAACCAAAAAACTATCAAAGGATTAAACAATTTAAAAACATAGATGTTTAGTGAACGTATAAGAGAATGTTTTTTGGTTTAGAAAAGTTCTTTAAGTTTAATAGTTTAAAGGATGGGAGCTTTTTTCTTTTAGGGTCCCCATTTTACCCACCTTTCCTCTACACCGGTCAATTAACTCTAATACTAAAGATAGCTACACAATGCTTATTGAAAAATATCTATATTAGTTACACGTGGGTCTGCAGAGTGTAAAAAATAATGGGCGCCAATCCTCTTAAGGCAAAAGCCACTCACGTTTAGGGTTTTTCAGAGGTTCAGGCGGGAGTGATTCCACTCCTTTGCAGACCGACATGAAGTCGGGACAACAGTCATCGGACCCGGTGCGGTTGAGGTAGCAGAAATCGTCGCAGTAGCACCTCGTGCCCAATATCGGTGCGGAGCAAACATCATCTTGCCTCTCACCGCAGCATCCAACATTTGCGCAGTAATCCCCGGCCAAGTCGTCGGCGATGGTTTCGTCAGCCACCACCAAGGAACACGCTAATGTCACGACCATCGCTACAACAGCAATCATGGTCATCTGGCTGCAGTTCGGGTGCCCCGCCTTCATCTGACAAATAGGAAACCATATTTTAGTGTTTTTGAAACGACAGATACATATTTCACTTCCATACATTTTTTCAACAGATAAAATTCAAAACTACCCATCTAAAGTATCAACTAGAGCAGGGGTCTCCAAACTTTTTTATTCAGGGGCCACAAAAAAAATCAAATGCTCTTAGCTGGCCAAAAGTTTGAAAAAAAAAAAAGGTTGTAGACCTAAAACATTTAGGAGATATAAATTCACACAACCTTTTGGACCCAAAGTACCTGTTGATATAAATAGTCCAATTGATATTTTTAACACATATAATTTTTAACTTTATGATAATATAGTTACCTATATAAATAATATGTTTACTTTATATTTTTGTATAGAATATTGTTTACTTTACAATATTATACTTAAATAAAAATAAATAGGTATAAATATAATATAAATACATTTTTGAAATAATTTTTTTTATCTATATTTACCTATGCGTCCTATGCGGGCCACGGGCCGGTTAAAACTTGTTCGAGGGCCGTAGTTTGGAGACCCCTGAACTAGAGGGACTAAACTCCATTTACGGTCATACAACTATAAACAATAATATTTAGTTTTACGAGTGCTCAGATAATATTTCACTATTAAGTAAAACAAGTAAAAAAAAAACAAAGTGTTACAATATTCAGTGAAAAATTCCACAGAAATTTATAATTTTATATTGGCACCATCAAACTTCCGATAAAATAAAAAAATATTTCTTTTTGAATTCATTTGAATAATTCGTTAAAATTACAAATAAATATTTTTACTCTTCAGTTTGGGTTGATACAAACTACGCCTGTGTTTCAAAATAAAAATGAACATTTCTAAACAACAAATCAAATTTGTATTATGATATTACCAACCGATATAAATATAATGCTACTCACATAATGCTCAAAGAGAAACGTCCATCGGGTCCACATGCTGCAGCTGATTTCAACAGTTCGAAAAAATTTATATTTTTATATAATACTATAATACGAGAGTACCTATTATCTAAATCATGAACAAAATTATTTTTTGTTTAACGTGAACGTCCGTTGAACATTAATGATTACCTATACCTACATTCTGCTGGTTATCACAACGTTGGTTTTAAACTTACTAACATCAACGATATACCTGTACTGGACGTTTACACGTTATACCTGAGCTGTATATCTACAGATTATATCATACAACCATTTAATATACAACATATATGTTTTGAAATTATTTGAAAGAAAAAATACGATGGTATTTTTTATAATATGCTAATAAAACAGGTAATACAAATCTGACACTGGTAATTAATAACATACTTAATGCTCGTTATAGGTAGGTATATAGTAGCAGCTCCCTCTGGCCTCGTACTTTCGATTACGAGGAATTGATTTGTTTTAAAATAGTAAGAGTTTTTTTTTTTTGTTCATTTTATTATTATTTCATATTTATTCGATAAAAATCAACAGTAATTTTGGCTACAACCCAGTAGGAACTATTATCCTAGTATTAATATCTATAATATGAAGAAATATTATTTTATATTGGTTCTGAGAGAAATATTTAAATCATCGAAATGCGTTTAAATAGTTTCCACTTTGGACTAACGTATATTAGATTAGTTACAAGTCTTCTAAGTTCATGTTTCTTCTATGTTCAATGATAATATTTGTGGAGAACCTCTTTCAGAAACTCTTCAATATCTATACAACATAGTTATAATTAAAACAAAATATAAACTATAAACATATATGTAATTATTGTAATCTATAAATAATAACAGGGGCCAGGGCGACGGAGTGGCCAAGCGGACTAAGGCGTCGGTTGTGACGCACACCGACGCTCGTTCAAACCTCGGTTCACGGGAGGCATTATTCTTCGGGCAAGTCACGGTGTCCGGAGAACAAGTGCCGCCATCCCCAACCTGGGCATGGCAGATACCTACCACGGGTGCCCACAAAAAAATCTGCCAAAACTGCACACAAGTGTTTACACATACCACTGTTCCCTCCCCACAGTTTAAAAACCACAAAACGGCCTGAGTTTCCGCGGGTCAACTAATAAAAAATACATGAATTTATAAAACAGTGAACATTCACATAAACATATACCTATACAAGCTTGATTATGTATTACCTATGTCGGATGTCCCATCACAAAGAACATAAATTATTATTATAATAACGTGGGGTGGGGCGAATTGCACAAATTGAATTATGAGTAAATAATAATATGTACATGACGCTGACCTCAGCTTCTTGTCTGCTAAACGCGATTTTAAACGTTGCCACAGTTAAGAGTATCATAAATTATTCAATAATTATTGTTATTCACTTATAACTCAATACTGACGTAGCTATTGCAATAATGAGGTAAATGAATTCTGGACAACAAAAGAGTAAAATTTTTTAAAATTTTTTGAATAATTTAAGATAAATAAATATTAAGAGGTAGCTTATATTACATTTTCATGGTTTTTAACTGAAAACTTTTTTAGATTCTGAATTTCTGAGTGGAACGATGAATGTATTGATTTTACAACGATGTGTAACACCACAAGGTTCCACGTAAATAGGTTATATATAAATTACTTTATTCACAATAATATCATCAAATATACTTAGTGATATCATAGGCTGACTATGACCGTTTTTGTTCATAATCGTTTTTCTTATACAATGATATTTTATCATTGAATTAAATTAATATAACACCATACATTACAGTGACCCACTTGTAACCTACCGAGTATATTTCTTCTTTACAAGGCACCCTTTTTTTTTTTTTAATCTTATGTAGAGTTAAGTACGCTGAAAACTATGGTGAAGTCAGAATTTGGGGCACGGACTTGGTTTTGAAGTTATGGCCTAATGAAGTTCACTATTTCCCGATTTTTACGCATTCGCGCATCACACTAGTTTACCAAGACTATTTCGAATATTGATGTTTTTTTTCGATGAGTGACGCAAAACGTACCCTGTGACCTACTTAAGGTGGTATTGCATAGCAAGTCGGGGGATATTTTCGATTTGCTCAGCGACGACTGCCGATACACACGTAATTACTGCAACTTTGAACTTCCATAACTTTTGAACGGTAAGTTTCCGGGAATTTTTTTAAACAGTTTTGAATTCAGCTTAAAAAACCATTCGAAAAAAAAAGGTGTCCAGTAAAGTAGATTTGTTCCACCTACTGTACAGCAGAGCGAAATACACTTGCCCACCTTTTTTTTATATTCTGAGTGTTTTTAAGTTTATTTTGAGAATTTGTTAAATTTTCTTCAGATATATTATTCCCATAGCCATACACTTTTAATGGTGAATCATTAATACTACCTACGAAATAAAAAATAAATGCCTAAATGAGTAACATTTTACTGATACATACTCTAGAGAGGAACACTAGTAAAAATATTATAAATAATAAGATATTATTTGAAAGTCTTGGAAAACTGATGCAAAGCAATGTACAATATAATGAAATAATAATTCTAAAAAGTTAACATTTAGATATTTAATAATAAAATAGATTTTTAAACTATAACCAGAATCACTTTCACAATTTCCATTATCAATGTTTACATTTGGTTTTTTAATGCGTTTGCCCCGACCCAAGCTCTTGTCAGATTCAGAACTAGACAAAAAAATGTCCTCTTTTCGTTTAGCAGCAACATTATGTGGATCTATTTTACAAATACATATAGATACTTTAATATATTTATTTTAAAATAATAGTTTAATGTTTAAGTACATGAGATTCACATATAACATATCATTGTTTTCATGAATTTCAACTGGATATAACATGTAATCTGTCAATAAATCATAAGCTACAGATAACATGGAAGGTGTAGGTAACTCGTTGTTTTGTAGGCCATTTACAAAAGTTTATTGTAATTTTTTGGATTATCCAATAATTGTTTGGAACGACTGAATACCTACTGATTTTCTTAACGGAAATATCCAATAAGCCTCTAAAACCAGGGTGAGGTATATTTCCGGTATAATTATGTATATTATTTTGTATATAATTTGATGTTAAATGTTAAAGTAGAATATTTATGGTACCTAATACAGTTTAAACAGTTTTAATTTTGAATACAAATTTAGTATTGCCAATATTATGTAAATATTTCATATGAAACAATTTTTAAATTGTTCTATTGGCTTTTAGTATCTATACATATAATACCTATACAGCCTACTTAATTATAAGTTTTAACTAAGAAATCATTAGAAATTACAGGTACCTATGTATATATTTTTTAACAATTGAAGAGATGATAACACATTTTATTTTTCGTTTAATTTAATCCTATTCAACAAGCAATAAATAATTAAATACCTAGGTACCTAGGTAAACTAAAACTTTATAGGTATAAAAACAATATTATAGTATTGTTTTAATAATATAAAGGTATTTATGCTTAAAATGAATTTGGTTATACATGTATATTATAATATTACCCAATATTATAGTACATATTATATAATATTATTATACTATGACCTACATACATTTTGTAATAGTTTGTAACTATATGATGTGTTATTAAATTGTATAAAATATAATTTATGTGACAACTGGACTTCTTATGATAAGTCATAATTAGTGTGTTCTTTATTTCAATTTGTGTATTTGAAGTATTACTTTGTGTCACCTAAAACTCCTACAACATTATCCATAAACTAATCAGGTAAGGCATTTAACATAATATTTTATATTGATTGCAGTTATTACCTACATTATGTGTGCTTTTTACATAAAAGTATATTGTACGGTGTGTTTGATCTAATTCTCGAATACACGATCTCGAGAGTCCTCCGAAAACCTGGAGGAAGGTATAATAGCGTAATTTTACTATTTTAACATCTGATTTCAATATAATTATCGACAGCTGGATTGGTTTTATATATGTTATCGTATTTTTACGTCATTACAATAGCAAATATATATAACAAATCAATATGTTAGTATCTTGGTTTATTATAATATATAATAATATTAGGTATATTTTAATCTACTAGGTATTTTAATACACAAGAAATGGTGAGTACAACATTTAGCTTGTTACCACATACCAAAAACAATATTATAATATAGCGGCACGGAGATCGGATACTTGTTCTGTCTATTCGTCGCTGGAAAAGGCGACTGGGGACTTCACAATGGCACCGTGGAGGCACACGTAACTGAGATTATTGGCTACTCACAGCAACCAAAAACGGAACAGAAACGAATACTTAATATGTCGCAATACGACGGCCTAACAATACGTGGGTACTCGAAAGTAACGGTTCGACGAACTTGAACGAAGTCCGATATAATAATGTGGTATAATAATTATAATAAAATATATTATTGTGAAATATTTAATACCTATATCTAGGGTATAATTATATATAAGCTAGCTAAACTAGGTGTAAATACTAATACAAATGAGGAGGCATATTGCATATTGCATATAAAGATTAATAATATTATATTGTTTTAAATACTTCGAGCAAACTACAAACCTAAAGTGTTACACGGCGTATAGTATAGACAAATAAGGTACTTAAGTACGTATTAAACTTATCGTGGTGAAATGAAGACGGGGTTTTGATTGTTGGGGAATGGGGATCTCGTATTTTATACATATTACATTTTTGGTAGTGATGGGAACAATCGAGTGAAAATAATCGAGTAACTCGATTATTTGATTAAATCGAGTAACTCGATTGTTATGAAAAATAATCGAATGATTTGCTCGGTCTCGATTCTCGGAACCAACTGAAAAAATCAAACGAAAAATTAGTAATTACTAATTTTGGTAGTAGTTACTCGAATATTGTAAATAAGTAAAATGAATGAAATAACTACTAATAGTAATATTATACTCGAGTATTTTTATTCTACTAATCTAGTAATCTCTTCACGGTATTTTCGTTCAGTTAAAAGAACACGAAAATAATAATCCAATTACGGACTACATTATCTCAAAGCATATATAAATTTTAAATAATTATAAAAGTATAAAACTTTAAAATTTTATAATATGGACGCGGTGTTGCACAACCTCAATGTAGTAGTACACGAAACGTCATAATATTATTTGGTTTTATACTTTTATCGAAATAAATTCCGTATACGAATCGGTAGTTAATAAATAAGTTATTTACTGTACTCGTACTATTAGTTTTTATAATATAATTTATAATAATAAATGTAAAGTGTTATTTCAATTAAAAATATTACTATGAATTTTTATTAATAAGTTGATTATTGATTGATTATTAATTATTATATATTAGTTCATGATAATATTTCGATTATTTTAATTGGGTGAAAATCACGACTAAATAATATTTCGATTATTTTAATCGAGTGAATATCTCGATTATAGTAATATCTCGATTACTAATTACTCGATTATCGAAATCATTCGATTATTCCCATCACTAATTTTTGGTCGGTTGCTTATCATTTTTCGGACAACTGCAGCAACAGCTGCTGTTGATCCACTGTTGTTACTGCTATCACAGTGTATTGGTGTGATAACTGGGATTATAGTGATTACGATATCAATGCATAATAATATTATTATTAACATTATTACATTTTAATACTTTTAATTTTAGCGTTCTACCTTCTACGGTTTTCATTAGCCAAAATACAAAATAGGTATTCTTAACTTGTTCTTACTTTTCATACTTTGAAATGTAATAATACTATAATATTATTGTTGGCTGGTTACTACATTATGTAAATAGGAACAATTGATTATAATTTTATATATTATTACATTATTATTTATTATTATTATTATTGTTGTTGTTTTGAATTTCTATAGAAATGGTCTAATTCTTTTGAAACTTTCTTATTATAGATGATTTCTACAATTGCTACGTTTTTATAACACCCGTCACCCATGTGTCGAATTGACTATGACAACTCGGTTAGTATTCTAATATATTTTGTTTTTTAGGTATTTTCTTAAATTATTTATTTTTACTTATCACAAGTAATATCTAATTGTTGCCCTAGTTCTTCAAATCTACCATATTTAAATACCTATTATAAGAATTTCCTTTTTTCCAAAGATATGGAGGCAGACCATGATATACTTCACAGTATAGATAAAACTTCCAAGTTGAAGTGTTTGTCACCACATTCTAAGAAGAATGGCCGCAAGACAAATTATTGTAAGCGGCCCGGGTTGTTTTACAAGAATCTTATAAAAAATCAAAATGCTGTACAAACAAGTCACTATTTTGAATCGACATGTAGCGGCCCATGGATTCCACCTAGATCTCCTTATGCTCTTATACAGGAAGACTTGTTTCACAATCCATGGCAACTGTTGATTGCAACTATATTTTTAACCAAAGTAACTGGTAAATAATTGTTGGATTCTTTCACTCCTGATATTGGTCTATTTTTACACCACCTTTCTTTATTTTTATGTAATGAGTTTTTTTTTTGGAAATTTTCAGCAAAACTTGCTATTCCAAAAATTCACACATTTCTGCTGAAATGGCCAACACCAGAAGATGTGACTAAAGCAGATCCCCAAGAATTACTTAGTTCAGTGGAGAATTTAGGATTAGAAAATACTCGTGTTAAAACTATAAAAAGATTTACAGGTAAATATTATAATAAATCAAAATATATTATTTTTTTGTTAACATCGCTTAACACAAATATTTTATCTACAGAGGATTTCTTATTAAAAAATTGGAAGTACCCGATAGAGTTGTATGGAATTGGCAAGTATGGTAATGATTCATACAGACTTTTTTGTGTGAACGAGTGGAGAAAAGTACAACCCGATGATATACTGTTATCAAAATACAAAGACTGGCTAACGTTGAATGAGAAACAACTTGGAATCTGAGATTCTCATTATTTTACTATTTAATTTTAGGTACTACTACTTTGTATATTAAATTGTAATGTTTTGTTTTTGAATTTGTAGTAACCACTGAATTCTTCTACACAGTTATTATATTATACATGTTTTTTGTGTTATATTTTTGTCTATTCATAATATTTGGTTCTGTGTTAGAATGTAATCTTTAGAACAGAATTTGTGTGTTGTCGTATATTGTAGACAGTCGTCAAGATATTATTATTTGATATATATGTTATAGAGGTGGGAACATTTTAAATTGTAAACTATTGACATAGGTCATTGAAGCAATATGTGCTGAGGCAGCAATAAGAACTACAGAACTGTGTTTTTTTATACCTTCAATGATATATCATTAAATTCAATTTTAATATCCATATAGGTTATTACTTATTATTGTATGACAACAACCAATTTAATTACTAGGTACACTCAAAATCATTTATACAGCTCAATAAATTCCCGGTTATTTAAAATAACAATATTGCCTTTTATAATAATAAGGTTTATTAATTATTTTGTAAACATTTTGCTACAATTTATTGTACTAATAATTAAAATATAAAGTATATACACCTAAACAAGGTGTTAATGTATTATAAAAATAGACCCACTCTAACCTAATCAAAACAGCAGGTAGCAGCATCAGCATAATGTTTTAAGTTTTTACTAGAAGTAGGTACCAACTACCACAGAGTATAAATGACTTGTGGTAAACCAGATTGTCTTCTTATAGTACCTATTATACAATATGTCAATTAATTAAAAAGTTAGTCGATCTAAATTCTAATTCAAAATGCAATGCAGATATTCTAATCAAGGGCACCCATTAGGGGTTGAAAGGAGGTGACATGTCAGTATGTCACCCCCCCCCCTAGATGAATGTGAAATGATTGTAATTTTTGTAATTGTAAATAATAAACATTTTTACTGATGATATTATAATACATGACATATTACATAGTCATACATCGTCTATCTATGTTGTTTATTTATTTTCTGTTGTTTAATAAAAATCAATTGAGTTGGTTCTTAGTGCCATCTTTTTAAATGTAATTTATGACTTATAGCCTCCCTTATAGCATGGTCAAAAACGCAGCTTAATATTGTAAAACTTTGTGGTTTTCAGTTTTTCACACTTTAATAACTAATGCTAATCCAATAGGTAATCAGTAATCACTAATGATAGTAATGAACATAAATTGTATGTAATATACTAATATATAGTGTATATATAATATATATATATATATATATATAATATATACATAGTAAGACTGTGATAAGTCATAAGTGTTGAACAATATTATAAAACAAATAAAAAATATTAGATGCCTACTGTACCTATACTACCTACACCTGATAAACAGGAAAAATGAAAAAAACTAAAATACCTACCTCGTTTAAATTGTCTAATTTAAACGCCTCAAGATTTGTAAAACTAACTCTCAAATCGAATATTACATTTATTATATATTATGACTGATATCCATGGAAACTAGAAGGAGCACAACAATTATAGTACGTACAATTTTTTTTTTCATGAGATTTAAATGTTAAGAAGACGTCACACCCGCATGTGTTGTCTCCGTCTTACAAATGTACAACATGGCAAAAACTGTTTTCCGAGGAACAACTTTTCATAATATTAATTGTTGTAGAACTACCAAATTTTCACAACGCGTAAAGAAGACAATTTTCTGTGCAACGGCGTGGTTTTTTTTCAATAGCGCTATCCAATGATTTTTTATACCTAAGCAAAAGAAATAAATAAATGTTTAAAAGCAAATAACTTTTATCGTATTTATGTTAGGTATCTAAAATATAGGCACGCTGTTGAATAGATAATTGCAGTCTACCCCATGTGTTCAAAAATTTTGGAGCCACTACTACAAACGCAGAAAGATAAAAGTTGTCCCGCGAAAAACAGTTTTTGCTATGTTATACATTAATACATTATATTTATAGGTACCTATATAATAAGTTATTATGTAATACAATTTGTAAGACGGAGATAATACATGCGGGTGTGACGTCCTAAGTAGATGTCACCATAATATTGTTTTTTTCTCTCAAACCCAAGCACAACATTGATCAAAGTAGGTATCAAACACATTCGCATAAAATCAATTTTTTTGTGATTTTTATTTAATTTTAGAGCGGAATCACCTATTACAAAAATGAGTGCGTATACGGACATTCCGTAGGATGGGAAATCGGGAGGCTGCAGGGCCATCTTGGTAACTTGTCTCGTCCTGGCACCTACCTGACTACCTATACCTCTCAATTCTCATACATCCATACAAAGGTGGGCAAGTTAATGAAAATAGTTAACTCAAGTTAAGTTAAGTCAACAGCTAACAAATTATAAATTTAACTCGATAAGTTAAAAGTTAATATAGAAAATAATATCAACTTAACTCAGTTTAAAAATAGTAAATCTATTTTTTTTTAGATTCTGAGCGGAGCGATGAATGTATTGGTTTTACAATGATGTATGTTTTTATATTTTAGATTCTGAGCGGAGCGATGAATGTATTGGTTTTACAATGATGTATGTTTTTATATTTTTATATTTTTATATTTTTATTTATATTTTTGTGTCTGTCATCACGTTTTAGGACAGTAAAAGTGCTTGGATTTTCTTCATCAGTAGCTTTTCTGATAGGAAAGTGAATCTAGTTGGTACTTTGGGGGGTCAAAAGTATAAATTTCCCAGTAGTTTTCACAAGCGCCGGGAAAAACAACATAAAAATTAAGGAAAAACGGGAATTTTTACGCAAAATTGGTTTTCCAAAAAATCGATTTTGGTTATTGGTGTAACTCTAAAACAAATGAACGTATATACATGAAATTTTCACTGGTTGTTTATATTTGCATTTTCTATACACGATAACATTTTCAAAATATTTTGATTTATTTTGAACTGTTTAGGGACATTTTCATTTTTCATTTTTTTTTAGTTTTTTTTCTAAAAATATCAATAAAATTTTATTTATTGGTTGCGAAAGCTTGAAAATTTAATAGAAGGCTCCTAATATATTGTTTCAAAGGCAGATGAAAAATATTAAAAATCCTTAGTCACAATTTTTTTTTATAAGCATTTAAAGTTCAAAAATTGACAAAATATGGAAAAATCACGAAAATTAGCAAATTATTTTGAGTTAAGAATTCGTAAAAATTTTTCTTTTTAAATCTAAGATTTGAAAATGAAACACAAGATTCCTTATAAGATTATCTACCTTTATCAATAAAAAAATCTCTACCGGACAGTCAAATTAAATTTTTATGAGCGTTTGAAATTCAAATTTTTACAACATTGGATTTTCACTCGATTTCTCATGTAGCGATTTCCTTATTTTGTTGTAATTCAAAAACGAATAACTGTAGATACATGAAAATTTCACTGAATGTTTATATTAGCATTTCCTATACACCATACAATTTTGAAAATATTTTGACTCTTTTTGAGCTGTTTATGGACATTTACAGCTTTCAATTTTTTTTAGTTTTTTTTTCTATAAATATCAATAAAGTTTTATCTGTTGGGCCAAAAAGTGTAAAAATTTAATACAAGGCTCCTGATATATTGTTACAATATCAGTTGAAAAATATTAAAAATACATAGGCACGATTTTTTTTTATAAGCATTTAAAGTTGGAATTTTGACAAAATTTATCAAAATCTCGAAAACTATCAATCGTTGGAATTAAAAAATTATAAAATATTCAGTTTTTATAACTAAGAGTTGAAAATTTAAAACAAATATTCTCTTAAATAATTCATACTGTAACCAAAAAATCTAAAAAATATATAAACACACTTATTTTTTACAGACATTTTAATTTCAAATTTAGACAAAATTTCATATTTAAACCAAGAATTACGATTTTAGTTATTTTGTTGTGATTGAATAATATTATTCGTGGGTACTTGAAACTTCTAAAGTGTACTATTATATATCTATGATAGTATCACGGTTTTTGTTGATGTATAACGCGTTATAAGTATCTAATGGATATTGTGATATGATTAGTTTGGAATTTATTATAGGTACCTATTATAGGTCAATTTTTTGTTTAATACCATAGATATGTATATAATATGTCTTATACATAGACTGACATACCGTCACCGCTCAGAATCGTTTTTCTTATACAATGATATTATATCATTGAATTCAAATTTAATACCATCCATTATACAGTGACCCACTTGTAACCTACTGTACAGCAGAGCGACACCCACTTGCCCACCTTTTTTTTTATTAATACCTATGTAAATCACATAAAGAGTGAATGTGTCTTTCTAGTTTCTAATTTATAAATTATAAAAAACAATTTTATTGAACTTTTATCATAATGTACACTGTATACCATTTTACTTTTACTTTACTGTTATTTACTAATTTAAACTATATAGGTACTCATCTCAAATTAATAATTTAACAAATATATTTTAGATTCTGAGCGGAGCGATGAATGTATTGGTTTTACAATGATGTATGTTTTTGTTTATATTTTTATATTTTTGTGTCTGTCATCACGTTTTAGGACAGTAAAAGTGCTTCGATTTTCTTCAATAGTACCTTTTCTGATAGGAAAGTGAATCTAGTTGGTACTTTGGGGGGTCAAAAGTAAACATTTCCCAGTAGTTTTCACAAGCGCCGAGAAAAACAACATAAAAATTAAGGAAAAACGGGAATTTTTACGCAAAATTGGTTTTCCAAAAAATCGATTTTGGTTATTGGTGTAACTCTAAAACAAATGAACGTATATACATGAAATTTTCACTGGTTGTTAATATTTGCATTTTCTATACACGATAACATTTTAAAAATATTTTGATTTATTTTGAACTGTTTAGGGACATTTTCATTTTCCATTTTTTTTTAGTTTTTTTTCTAAAAATATCAATAAAATTTTATTTGTTGGTTGCGAAAGCTTGAAAATTTAATAGAAGGCTCCTAATATGTTGTTTCAAAG